TTTGAAATTTCTCAGTATCTAAGATCTAAAATTGGCATAAACTCGTGTCAAATTAATCAGTCATAAGGAACTTGCAAATAGCAAAACTGGGGAGCACAAAATTTTCGTTCTGCAACAAGTCGAAGTGTCTCAGAAATGAATGAATGTTGGACTAATGCAGTGTATTAGCAAGAAGTCGATGTGCAAAACATGAAATTGAAGAATTCTGATGTTTGGTAATAAAATGAAACAGGAGGACGTTAAGCTCATGGAAGATTTGGGTGTTAATGGCTATCGTTTCTCTATCTCGTGGGCAAGAATTCTGCCCAGTAAGTTATAACTGTCACTAGTCTCTTCCCTTCATTTTCAGCAAATACTCATTCTTGTCATTTCCATTGAACAATCTTTTCCTTTGTCGGTTGTAAATTTGACACAGAAGGGACATTTGGAGATGTTAATATGGCTGGAATTGAGCACTACAATAAGCTTATTGATGCACTCTTACAGAAAGGTCAATTCGGCTTCACTTGCTAATAGTTTGATAAATCCAAAATGAAGCAAAAAGGTTATTAATTTTGTGGGCTCAGACAACTTCTTTATGTGCTGTGAAATTCAGGGATCCAACCGTTGATCACATTAACACATTATGACATACCACAAGAACTTGAGGAAAGATATGGTGGTTGGCTTAGTTCACGAATACAGTAAGTAGCTGCTCCCATCTTACACTTTTAAGGTAGTTGTATATGATGAACAAGTTAACTTGTGTGGTGTTTCAGGGATGATTTCAGCTATTATGCAGACATATGCTTCAAATATTTTGGGGACAGAGTCAAATACTGGACAACCATCAATGAGCCTAACCTTATGGCTGTTCGTGGCTATAGAGAGGGAACTTACCCTCCATCTCGATGCTCCGGTATATTTGGGAATTGTAGTGCTGGTGATTCAGAAAGGGAGCCCTTCATTGCAGCTCACAATATGATCCTATCTCATGCAGCTGCTATCAGTATTTACCGTACCAGATATCAGGTTCTTTCGATGGCTCTATGCCCTTTCCCATTTGCCATGTCAACTCTCAACACGCATGATCTTGCAGAATTAATCCAAATGGTTTACCCCTTTAGTGCAACACTATTTTCTGGCTTGTAAATGATATGAAGGTGAATTTTGGGGTTAGTAAAACAAGGAAAATGGTATACTTGGAAGACTAAAGCACGAAAATTATGCTTGGAAACTGTTTCCCCCCCTCTATCTATCAAATGGTATATTGTAGAAGTTCATTAGAAGATCATACAAATATCAGTAATATAGTCTATTTTATGCTGCTTTTCAGAAAAGACAAGGAGGAATGATCGGAATTTCTTTGGATACCCAATGGTTTGAACCATTTAGCAATTCCTCAGAAGACATAGCCGCAGCTGAGAGAGCTCGGTCATTCTACGTCAACTGGTAATCTTTCCTTATCAGTAGTTCAGTACTGGAATCTGGTTTCTTGTGCATCAGAAAGAGAGGGAAAAAATGTTATTTTTTTACTAAGTACCCCTATATATGCAGGTTTTTAGACCCTATTATATTAGGAAGATATCCCAAAGAAATGGTACAAATTCTGGGATCTAATCTGCCAGACTTTTCAAAGAATGATTTGAGCAAGCTGAGTTATGGCTTGGATTTCATTGGCATCAATTACTATACGGCTGCATATATCAAAGATTGCTTATATTCTGCATGTGAACATGGAAGAACTTGGTCAGAGGGTTCCTTTTTAGATACTAGAGAAAAAGACGGTGTCTACATTGGTCAACCTGTATGTTTTCTCCTCTTTAATATTTGAGCATTCCTCATCTTCTAACCCTCCACTCTGCCAAACTATTACTGGCACTTTGTGCATTGCTAAATTTTATTTATTTTCCACAACTTCAATATGAATCAGACTGAAGTGGACTGGCTCTTTCTGTACCCACAAGGGATGAAAAAAATTGTGATGTACATGAAGGACAGATTCAACAATACTCCAATGGTCATCACCGAAAATGGTAAGAAGAAAAAAAAGTTCACATTCTTGTCATATAAAAGCGAGCTATAGCTTAATTTATCAACTAATAACCTGAACAAGATGCATTTGGATCTGTTAGGATGCAATTACTGACACAAGTGGCAATGTTGCAGGCATTGCTGAGAATGATAATCTGAATCCTTCAATAATAGACACCTTGAACGATTTTCATAGAGTGGACTATATGCGTAGCTACTTAAATTCATTGGCAAATGCAATCACGGATGGTGCAGATGTGAGGGGGTACTTTGTTTGGTCCCTTCTCGACAACTTTGAGTGGCTAGATGGATATAAGTTAAGATTTGGACTTCACTATGTCAACTATACTAATCTTCAGAGAACCCCAAAATTATCAGCTACCAGGTATAAACAGCTCATGTATAACTTCAACATACAACTTGAAAAAAATACTGCCCAGAACTAGTGGCCGGGAGAAGACGATGAAAAGCGGAGGCTTCTTAAGATTATTTTCATTCTGTGTCTGTTGTTGGAAGACAGTTTATTGTGTAATGAAACAAATTAGTGGTCAGAAATACTCTATTGAAAATTGATTATAATTATCCAGATTTATTGATGAAAAAGAAGAAAATAATACATGCATGGACCATTAAACTAGTAATATTATTTGTGTTGTAAAATTCAGAGCAAATGGCCTCCAACAACACAAAGCTTGAATAATGATAAAAGAGTATTTTAATTAATACTAAGGACAATTAAAATAAGACGAAGAAAAAAATTTAGATCAATAATTTCTCTACAGGACAAGTAAAATGGATAGGAGGGAGCAGCTCCCCCACTTCTTCTACCTGTGTAATTGAAGCAAAAATAATATTTTTACACTATTCTAATTACGTATAGTATTATATTAAGTTATTTTAATGAATATAATCTTTAAATATATAGTACTATTTTCAATTGTTATATAAAATTATGCATCAACAAATTGAATGATTACTATATAAGTCTATAACAAAAACAAAATACGGGATAAAACTAATATAAACATGTAGAGTCCAAAATAAAATAAAAATAATTTAATAAAAAGTACAAACGAGTTAAGTGAGAAATAAATATTAAGATAAAAGACATAATTATTTTAGGTACCCGATAGGACAATAGACCGGCACACATCACACATATTATATAGTACATCTTTTTCTTTTTTCTTTCGAATCAATAAAAAACGTGAAGAGGTTGCAATTATTTGTGCCTTTTTCTCAGGAGCTTGAAAGAGAAATATCAATCACCACTTCTCTCTATTTTTCCTCATTCACTTAACAAATCAAAGCTGTATTATGCTTCCTGCAATGTTTTATCAAATAGCAATTTGCATGTTGTTTTGTGGTTTCATAGTATCATCATATCATCAAAAAGATATCCTTAATATTCTCAAAGAAAATCCTAATCAAGTTTCATCTTCAAACAATTTCTTGTTTGGGACAGCCTCTTCTTGTTACCAGGTACTTCCTACACTTGTTTTTTTTTTTTTTGTTTCGAGTATAACTTTAATTTTTCTTGTTTTCTCCGTAGTTTGAAGGAGCATTTCTCAGTGATGGAAAAAGTCTCAACAATTGGGACATTTTTACTCACGAAGCTGGTGAGCCCCCTTTTTTAAGGCATAATACATTAATTATGACCGTATTTTTACATTTATGTCTCCAACTTTTGGGGGTGCGACACATAAGTCTAAGTGACATAATTTGTTCAATTTTATGTTTATGCATTTTTTTTAATTAATGAATTATCAATTTCTACGAGAAAATTTACAAGAATTTTAGCCCCCGCTTTTTTAAAAAAATATTAATTTTGGTTAGTGTTGTTGCAGGTCATATTGAGGATGGAAGCAATGGAGATGTTGCCGTTGATCACTACAATCGTTATTTGGTAAATCCAATTTATCATTTGAACTTTCCCTTTTTTATGTAGTTGCAAACATATTGTTCACAAGTCTGTTTTCTTTATTTTTGAACAAATTCAGGTAAGAAAAAGAACACGTGAATATTTGATTCGTGACAGAATAGGTTAAAAATTGTTTGCTCAAATATATAGTGGTAGTAGGACATACTTGTCGCTCTTATATAATAAAAAAAGGTAAAATGTTTTCCTTAGCACTCTACCACTTTCTCTCACCGCTTAAAAAAATATCTACCCACTCCACGTAACACTCTCCTATTTTTTTTTAATCTCATTTTGGGTTATATATATAATTTAGGGAAGTATTTTTTATTTGTTATAAGACTTCCTTTAAAATAAATGAAGAGTGCAGTACACCCACCATAAAGAAAATCTAATGATAGAGACATGTGTTTCTCTCTAACAGATATTGATAATTTATAGTTTAGGTATGAAATTCAAGCTCTCAATAATTCGGGTACGAAGTTAAAAGAAGAAGAAGATAATTAGATATTTTTAACACTTATCTTTATTAATAATCATAATACATATTTTTATAAGCCCCACTAGCAATTCTCTTAATTAATACTCTCTTTGTCTCTATTTACTCGTCTATATTTCCTGTTTTAGATGTTTCCTATTTACTTGTCCATTTTGACAAATCAAGAAAAGATTAAAAAATCCTATTATACCCTCATTTAAACTTCTTGAAAAATTTTAAAAACTTTTAATTCATCCTTTCTGAAATCATATTTAATAAGGTAAAATTGTAACTTTACTATGTTAATTATTGTTATCTTAATATGTGTGCCTAGTCTATAGTGGACAACTAAATAGGGACAGCGGGAGAGTACCTTAGATAAGGAAATAATATTTAATCATGTTATCATTTATATTGTTATTACTGGTAATTAGTATATATTTGGGTTGTGAAAGAATTAGATGTGTTTGACATTTGCTCTCTTTCACATGCTAACATTTTGTACATTTCTGAGATATCAGATGTAGTCATTTTCTTATCCCTGTCATTGTGATTTCTTATCATTTTAAGGCCATTCAGAAGGGTAACATATTCTTGTATGTTTTTATCCTGTTGAGATGGGATCATCTATAGTGAGGCACATTGAGATTAGATGGAGACTAAATATGATTTGGCCTACTCAAGATCAACAAAATAAACTGCTGTCGTTTGTCAACACAATACTGATAAATTAGATAGAAAGTACTTTTGGAGATCAGAATTACATAAACTTTTTGATACAACATCATTCGAGAAGCAAAGGGAAGGCCCTAATTTGTGCTTGAAAGACAGCATACATGTTTGACACAGAAGGGAAACAGTTAGTCTTGCTCTCACAATTAAGATCTAAAACTCACATTCTGTGTCAAAGCTGATCGATCAACATCATAAGGAAGCAGCAGATAAGCGCATGATATGCTTTTGTTGCACAACAAGTCATAAGCGTCTCAGAAGAGTTTATGAATGAATGTTAGATCAATGCAGTGTATTAGCAAGAAAATAGACTGCTCGTAAAGCAAGAATTCTGAATTTCTGATGTTTCGTAATAAAATGAATACAGGAGGACATCAAGCTCATGGAAGACATGGGTGTGAATAGCTATCGTTTCTCCATCTCATGGGCAAGAATTCTGCCCAGTACGTCACTACTCTCTTCCCTTCATTTTAAGCAAATAATTCTTATTGTCATTTTGATTGAACCATCTTTCTCTTTGTCGGTTGTAAATTGACTCAGAGGGGACATTTGGAGATGTTAATATGGCTGGAATTGAGCACTATAATAAGCTTATTGATGCACTCTTGCAGAAAGGTCAATTCGGTTGCAGTTGCTTATAGTTTTAAGTTATTGATAATATCAAAATGAAGCAAAAAAGTAAATTTTGGGGCTCAGACGACTTCTTTATGTGCTGTGAATTCAGGGATTGAACCGTTTATCACATTAACACATTATGACGTACCACAAGAACTTGAGGAAAGATATGGTGGTTGGCTTAGTTCACGAATACAGTAAGTAGCTGGTCCCATCTTACACTTTAAGGTAGTTGTATATGATGAACAAGTTAACTTGTGTGGTGTTTCAGGGATGATTTCAGCTATTATGCAGACATATGCTTCAAATATTTTGGGGACAGAGTCAAATACTGGACAACCATCAATGAGCCTAACCTTATGGCTGTTCGTGGTTATAGAGAGGGAACTTACCCTCCAGCTCGATGCTCCGGTATATTTGGGAATTGTAGTGCTGGTGATTCAGAAAGGGAGCCCTTCATTGCAGCTCACAATATGATCCTATCTCATGCAGCTGCAATCAGTATTTACCGTACCAGATATCAGGTTCTTTCGATGGCTCTATGCCCTTTCCCATTTGCCATGTCAACTCTCAACACGCATGATCTTGCAGAATTAATCCAAATGGTTTACCCCTTTAGTGCAACACTATTTTCTGGCTTGTAAATGATATGAAGGTGAATTTTGGGGTTAGTAAAACAAGGAAAATGGTATACTTGGAAGACTAAAGCACGAAAATTATGCTTGGAAACTGTTTCCCCCCCTCTATCTATCAAATGGTATATTGTAGAAGTTCATTAGAAGATCATACAAATATCAGTAATATAGTCTATTTTATGCTGCTTTTCAGAAAAGACAAGGAGGAATGATCGGAATTTCTTTGGATACCCAATGGTTTGAACCATTTAGCAATTCCTCAGAAGACATAGCCGCAGCTGAGAGAGCTCGGTCATTCTACGTCAACTGGTAATCTTTCCTTATCAGTAGTTCAGTACTGGAATCTGGTTTCTTGTGCATCAGAAAGAGAGGAAAAAAATGTTATTTTTTTACTAAGTACCCCTATATATGCAGGTTTTTAGACCCTATTATATTAGGAAGATATCCCAAAGAAATGGTTCAAATTCTGGGATCTAATCTGCCAGACTTCTCAAAGAATGATTTGAGCAAGCTGAGTTATGGCTTAGATTTCATTGGCATCAATTACTATACGGCTAAATATATCAAAGATTGCTTATATTCTGCCTGTGAACATGGAAACACTTGGTCAGAGGGTTCCTATTTAGCTACAACAGAAAAAGACGGTGTCTACATTGGCCAACCAGTATGTTTTCTCATCTATGTTTTCTCATCTTTTAACCCACTCTAGCACTTTCCACATTGCTGAAATTTTATTTTTTTCCACTAACTTTAAATGAATCAGACTGGTGCTCCATGGATCTTTCTGTACCCACAAGGGATGAAAAAAATTGTGATGTACATGAGGGAGAGATTCAATAATACTCCAGTGGTTATCACTGAAAATGGTAAGAAGAAAAGGAATTCACACTGTCATTTAGAAGCTAAGAAAGATGCAGTTTATCAACTAATAACTTGAACGAGATGCATTTTGATCTGTTGGGATGCTACTATTGACACAATTGGCTATGTTGCAGGCATTGCTGAGAATGATAATCTGAATCCTTCAATAACGGACACCTTGAATGATAGTCATAGAGTGAACTATTTGTATAGCTGCTTAAATTCACTGGCAAATGCAATCAGGGAAGGTGCAGACGTGAGGGGGTACTTTGTTTGGTCCCTTCTTGACAACTTTGAGTGGCTACACGGATATAAGCTAAGATTTGGACTTCACTATGTCAACTATACTAATCTCCAGAGAACCCCAAAATTATCAGCTACCAGGTATAAACAACTCATGTATAACTTCCACATACAGCTTGAAACACATATTGCCCAGAACTAGTGGAAGAAGATGATGCAAAAGCAGAAGCTTGTAAGCAGCCTCATCCCTGCCTTCATATTACAAGAGTTAAGCTCAAATTTAACCTTGTATTCACTCCAATGGAACTGTAATCACGTAAGCAAGAAATTTTAATTATGCAGCAGAAATATTCTGTTGAAAGCTGAGTACCCCCCACCTCCCACCCCCCAAAAAAAAATCTGTTAGGCTTCAACAGATTTCTTAATGTTCCAATATTCTACAAAATGGATGTTCCTCCGGCTGATTTTCGGAATCTACTCTAAGAGAGCTCATGATTAAAAAAAAACCATCAGCAGATGGATGGAAAAGTTATATTCAAGAAGCATGGACTATTATAACAAACTCACTGCCACTATTTTTTCCATTGTCTTCACGAAATTAGTGTTACAACATCAGCCAAAAATGCTATTTATGACAGCACATTGTATTTACATTCCTCAAAATGAGACCCTGAAGACATGCTCTACTACTACAATAAGATCCTTGGTCAAGGGAAGACTACCTTATCTGCAGACCATTGCTTTAGAAACTCCGAGAGTAGGATAAGGTATGGGGTACCTTCAAATGACCGAAATGTGTCCGTGAATTCCTCATCAACATCCTGGTATATTACCCACCTTTTCATAGTTCAAGACTACTCCACAACTACACAAGGTAGATCAGTAAGTGAGCCTTCTCCTTGAAGCTCATAATATGATCCCAGCACAGGCAGTTGCTGTCGATACATAAAGAAGTGACTATCATCTATAAACACAAATAAAAAGTGAGTATCAGCTATAGACAGAAATAAGCTATCTTGTCTGGATGCAAGATAGCACAATGTGCTTATTAAAGGTGTCAAATGAAAGATGACCATTTCTTCCCCAGAAAAAAGTGGTGGTACTTGGTTGGCTGAGGACAGGGGTTTGTAGGAACTCAATTCCTTTTTTCACAGATGAAAACAAGTCCAAATAACTTTCGCTCAACACCCCGAGATGACAGCCTAGCCATGCATACATCTAGTGCAAGACACATGAATTTTTACATCTGACAGGTCAGCAAGTTAAAGAGAGAATCCTACTAGTATGTTACTATTGTATCAGTCCATAATCTAAGATCTAGCCTTCCACCTCAAACCACTCATCTTTCTCGTCTAGCTTTCTCCCCAAAGGAGAGTGAAAGAGCAGGAGAACACAGTCAAGAGGAAGGGAACTTCAAAAGTTTATTATTTGCCTTTGGTGCATAATAGATGGCAAGGGTTGATAGTAATTAACACAAATTCATGGTCTAGAAGAGTTCCTCTCAAAATATATGTAACTCTTACATATCCCAACAGAACTTCAGAATATGATCCTATTATCACCTTTAAGTTAAGTATATGATGTCTTGCTGACATCATGACCAGCTTCCTCTTTCTATCACCAGCTGAGGTACCATACAACACAAAGCTTCACCAATGAACAGAAGAACTATTCAGCTTAAATTTTTTTTTTTGGAGACAAGTAACTTTTAGCTTAAAGATAATTGTGTTTTATAGTGATTGCTGAATTACAAAGTTCTTACCTTGTGCAGAAGAATTTGTCAGGCCTGCCACATTATTCTGATGAAGCCAGGCTTAAACATTAGCCACAAGCTTTATCTACCTCCACCAGGGCATTCTGGCACCATAACAGTGCTGGCCATCGTCCCACGAGATCTGGCATGCCTGAAGACCTACAGCAACACTAGGTTCCTTCCCATGTTGTGCTATCCACTCGTCTATTGCAAGTGATTTATCATTTTCGTTTGAATATAGTTTTTTGTTCTTCCCAAATGGATTACTCCCAGGACAGACTATTTCAGCAATTGCAGCTGGCATATACATCGAGTCACCTACCACTGGTGCACTACATGCAGCTAACTGTGCTCGAATCTGCCAATTATGACCACATATCATCTGAATATCATTGATTGTCAAGACATCGATTTTCAAACTGAAATGCCATTTTGAGAAAATCACTGTTTTGGTTCCTTTTCACGTCTTCATTTGTTTTAAGATTGCAAAAACCAGAGATGAACTTGTAACAAAAGCTACTATTAGTAAACCAGTTCACGCATGATTAAATAGTTTAGTCATGTGCGCTCTCTCTCTCTCTTTAGACCTGTAAACAGCAACTATGACATACTTTTGCGAGCAAGTAACCTGATCCGAGTTATTAGGCCTTTCCTGTCTAATACTTATAGGAATAAAACCCAACTGGCAAGTAGGACAAACAACTACAATTACTCAACTTTGAAACATCAAACTTGAAAAAAAATCCTGAGGACAAAAGGACAAATGCATGAGGGAACCAGAAAACTGAAATTTAAATACCTGATGAGTCCGACCAGTTAGAAGGTTGATTTGACACTCATATGCATAGTCCTTCAAAGCCCATCCACAGTCCTCAAGGTTGTATGTCCTCTGGATTTCACTACTAGGCCAGGGTACCTTTTGGCATTCTAAGACCTCAAGTTGGCATAACAACCATCCTTTCACAAAATCTGAAAAGCATAGATGCCAGAGGAAAATATGAGCACTTTTGGAAGAACATCCAACTCCTTATGGCAAACATCGACATCATGGGTTGTTTGACATGGAGATGTACATATAACATATGATCCTTTCAATGTCAGCTCTTTTGGGTGTTAGAAACTTGAGAATACACACAAGCATAAAGACAACTGTTATAACCTTTTATCCAGATTAGAAATCTCAATTTTAACATTATCAGGCTCTTTCTCTCTCTGTCTATTTTTATCTCTCTCACGCAAGCAAAATATTATTGCTACTTGCTTACCTCTAGAAACAAGTCTTGGGGCCATATTAATAGGACGCATGTAGTGTGTAAGTATTCCGATAGGAACTGGAGCAGCAGCAAGAGCAAGATAAAGCTTTCTGACCTTCTTCTCCTGACAGATAATAGATGAAGTATCAAGAAGACCAAATGGTACACTCCACAAAGGACCTCCATTGTAAGGGAACATGAAGTTGTTATTCCCTACAACTCTATATCAAATCTTTTGTAAGACTATATGCGACATAGAGGTGAGTCTCACCCTGATTTTTCCATGAAATACTGAACAGTACTCCTTACTCCGAGCCAGCACAACACTGCACACATTAGAAGTCATGCCAGAACCTTTATTTTACATGACATCCTATTTCACCTCTGCTTGAATTTTTTTAAAAAAAAGAATATTTACGGGGGATATATACAGCCAATCATACCATCCTTCAGTGCAATTGTCAATCTGATGGGTAGTAAGCAGAGGAGCTGAAAATCCTAATGCTCGAGTAGCAAATGTAGCACAGCTTTCTTCAATGTTATCTGTAGTTCCTCCTACCTGGGTTTAAGTTGTCAATATGCAAAAGAGTTAGCTTATTGGTAACGGAAAAAGAAGAAGAGCCTAGAACAACACTAATTAATGAGAGGAAAACCAATGTCAGTTAGAAGTAATTTACTTGACAGACATGACTATCAGAAAATATCAGCTAGAGGATTTCACTCAACAAAAAACCATATTTAATAAAGTCTTGTACTCACAGATGTACCAGCAGGTTTATCCAGAACCACATAGTCGTCGGTTACAGCAATAATACGAGATTTCCAGTCAATGTCATAGCACCTAATCATATCAAATCTTACAACATTACCTTCCTACTGACAAAAAGTCATGAGCCAAAGTAAGAATAGGGTTCAGTAATTACCTTGGAAAGCGCTTAGGGTGTACATGCACCCGCAAATACGTTCCAGCTTCAACAATTTCATCAGCACGAGTTATTTTGAAAGTTTTCTGAGCTTCACGTACAGTTTTCCCTTTGATTGAAGTTCTCTTTCTCAGAACTGATGGATCTGTAACTTCTTCATACACTTTAATTTGCTCAGGACTGGCAGTCGGAGGTGGCTTAGGACATACAAGTGCGTAATACACAGCTCCGAACTGTATAAGGTCTTCCACATATCTTAATGATGAAAAACATTGGTCAAAATACCACTTAACTGATCCAAGATGCCTATCACTCAACTCATCGGTGATCACTCTCAAGGTGTAAATTATGATATGCAGGAAAATAACAAAAGAACAACAAAGAAAGATAGAAATTTACAATGGAGGGAGGTCCAAAGCTTTACAAATATATTCTACAACAGGTCCTTCTTTTGTGACGACAAGATGCTCAACCCTAGGTGGGCTGTTCTGCAAAGGGCATGGCATCAAGCGTCCATATCTAAGGTGGCTGAAAAAGTGAAATAAAAACAAATAGATCAGTGTAACAAATCATAAGAATCAAATGGGATACTAGCCTGGTGGAGGTTGATGACATTGGAGACATGTCTCTACTCGATCGAAGAAAATTGTAACATTACAAATCTAAACTTAAGTTGCAATACACTATCAATGTAAGCTTCCTGCTCTTGTTTAGACTTTTTAATCTATATAGCCAACAAGTAAAGAAACCATTTTGAACCTTCTCTAAAAGCTTAAGCTATTAGAAATTTACCATTTTCATTTACTCAATTATGTCTTAAAAAAATGACCTTAAAATACAGAACACGACATTCAACTTTTGCAGAAGTCTAACAAATGAAATAACAAGAATTACCCATTTGAAGAAACAGTGTGAGAAGTTGAATTGATATCAGACAAAGCAGTGGACTGACAGCAGAAGCTTTTACTGCAGGATGAAAGGGCCAATCTTTTGTAGTGATTCTTGTTCTTGAGCAGGCGGCTACGAGATGAGGCAAATGTGTGCACCATATTGAAAGGGGAAAAAAACCCATTTCTCCAATTTGGGGTCCATAAACGAGAAGCAATCAAACTATTGGTCACGATTGGAGTGAAACTGCCACTGGCAAAAGCCATCGTCTTTTGGGGTTCTAAGAGGGTTTAAGGCTGATTGAAGATACTGATATAGTTATAGAATTTTGAGACAGAAGGATTTTTTGGAAATTGCGATTATGCCTTTCTATTTTTGAAAAATTACATCCAACTCCCTTAACTTTTTCATAATGCAACTAAAAAGTTTTTTTTTTAAGAGAAAAAACATTAAGTCACCATACACTGAAGTTGTTTCAAATTTTCAAAATAAATATCTTAATTTTGTGGGTGTCTTATTACCCACGAAACTATCTAAATCCATAATAAATATACTTTTTTGACTAATTTTAACACCACTCGTGTTGTCACAAAATTTGGGCGCGTAAAGGACTTTTCATATAGCTTCAGATCAACGTAAAATTGTCATGTGACACTCCCAATTTGACTTATGTTGAAAAAATATAAGAACCCGTGTACTAATTTTTTTAAAGCTTTATTAGGAATATTTTTTAATTTTCAAATCTTTTATTCTCATAAACCCCTACCATCATTAGCTTATCTATGTTTCTTGGACATCTATGTCTTCCTTATTTTTTTAAAAACTAATGTGAGTGTGTTCATTCTTATTCTTTTTTATTTTGAAAAATAAATTAGTTTAATGATTTTATTCCTCGTACAAATCAAGTTTGAAATTTGAGAATAGTGAAATTATAAAAAAATCGATTTGGGAGTAAGAAGTTGGAGAAGGAGGTGATTTGAATATCAGATTTTGACTTGGTGATATTTTGAATATTTGAATTTTAATTATTTGACGATATTTATTTTCATAAATAAATTAATTGATGGTAGTTTGACAAATAATTGATAATGCTACCAGAAAATTCCATCCCACAACAATGGGTTTGGCGACTGTTCTTCTAGACGAAGGAATGACAGAAGCTACAACATTGAGGTGAAGAAGAATGAGAACCAGAAAAAAAAAATCAAAGAAATTAAATAAAAACAATTAAAAATTATTTTTAACACATGTCAAGTGACTACTATTTGCGTGTGACTTACAAATATTTTTGTATAAGTGGTATTGGATAAAAATGGGATATACACACTATTGTGAAATTATTCAATGGGATAATAGGACACTCACAAAATTAAGATATCTTAAAAAATCAAGACAACCTCGATGATGCTTTTATATCTTTTCTCTTTTTTTCTCCCATATGATAGACATAATTCCATGACAATATGATTTTTCATATATACAAAAATGAAGATTCGTAATATTATAATTTCAAGCAAAAAAAAAATTGTATATAGCTTGTTTGATTATAAAGAGTCGTGTTGAAAAAGATGTTATAGTCTTCATCTATTATGATCTATTGGCACAGACTCAAAGTTAATAACTAGGATCGCAATAACAGTTCGACTATGTGACAGTTTAAACTATCTAACAAAAAAAAGTTAAAAAAAAAAGCAATCATTTTAATCTTGCGGATTGAAGTATATGAATTAGAGTTAACTTAATTATTGAGATATTCGTGATATATTTTTATTTAAAAGTTACTCTAAAACAGGAAGATAACATCACATCTTATTAATATTACACTAAAAATATTTTAGTTGATGAGATATAGTAACTTGAGAGTTTTTGTGATTACTAATTATTATAAATCAATTGAGAAACATATTACCTCCGAAGTTATACTAATTGAAAATTGTACTTTTGAAGGAGGAAGGATATCACATGTTATATGAAACTAGTAGATATGGTTAGACTGCCTTTTCTTTTTTTTTTTTTTAAAGTAGATAGTTAAATTTCACATTTTAATGTGTTATTTCTAAAAAAAAAAAAAAATTGTCAGAGAGTATAAAATAGATAGCCAAATTTCATATTTTAACGTGTTATTTCACAAGTTTTTTTTTTTTTTAAAATGTTAGAGAGGGTATATATGCCGTGGCAGAAAAAATTTTAAAAAAAAAAATGCTACTGGCAGGATTCAAACCCTGCCCAATGGGTTTGCACCTCTTATTGCAGAAATTTAAACCAGTTTACCCATAAGTGCTTTTGTTCTATGGGTGCTCATTTAAATTATAATAACATATGTATCATATTTTATATATATATATATAAAAAAATTAGAAATCAATGTGTACTCAAGTACCCGCGTCTGGCTTACTGGGTCCGCCTCATATGACCTCCGTGTACTGTAACAGCATATTGAAATACCTGATTATCTAATTTTTTTAAAAAAATTAAATGATAAAAAAACACATGTCCTTTATTTAATTATTCAATGCTCAATAACTTCTATGGTCATTTGAAATTTAATTCTTAATTGATCAATACGCCCTAACGAGTCTTCCACTAAACACTTATTTTGATAATTAATTTATTATATCAAAAATAACTTTTAGCGACAATAAATAGGTATATTAATAAAAAGTATTAAAGTTTTACCTGCATTAGTTAAGTGTCATTAGGTTCAATGTCACTAAAAAGCTAGCAACATATACAAAAAGTGTTAATCGTCCCTAAAAATACAATTTAATGACAATTGAGCTATTGTCATTAATTAATCGCTACTAAAAATCATTTTTAATGTAGTGATTATTGGAAGCTCTAAATGACGAAGTTATTCTTCGATATTTTAATTCTACAAAGAACTGTAGTCTCACTTGATCAGTAAAATTGGATTAATGCAATTTATGAGCAACACAGTATATGTTAATCAACTGCAACCCACCTAAATATAATAGGAAAACTTTGCAGTCTAAAAACTGATCACTTAGTACTTGTAATAGAATTAGTAGAATCATTTTTTTTTCCTTTTGTTGTCTAGATAGCTAAGACATATACTATAGTTGATTTACATGTCATAATTATAATAATTTGTTCTTGGTTATATTTGTATTAGCATACTAGATAAATGTTTTTAAAAAAAATTTTAGAATATTTTACATTTTCTTGTACTATTATATTATTTTATTAACATGACAAATAACATTGACGCTCACGACTTTAAAATATTGGTATATACGCATATTCATTGTTTCTGGAAAGTGTATCAAAACTTCCAATATGCTGTTTTTAGGTCGACTGTCATTCTAGAAAATTTTCATATTTATGGGTTGTTTGTTTAAAATGTCTTATTTTTATAATTTACAGTTATATTTATATAATTATGCTATTTTAAAATAAATTTGAAATAGCGAATTTATACAAATATTAACATCTGAATGCTAAATAGCTATACAAATTATATTATACAAAAGTTATATAAATTATATTATGCGAATTTCAAATTATACAAATGTGTAAATTATACTCAAAATTTTAGTCCACATAATTATCACTGAATATTGGTCGACAGTGATAATTAACAAAAACTATAACTATGGTAACTAATTAATTAACTAGTATATATTTATTTAACCATGGAATTTTATAAATAATAAATAAGTAAAGTATATAAAATTAAAATTTATTTTGCCTATCCATTTATGATCACTTTTAGAAGTATTTATTGCCTACTTTCAATAGTAAAGAAAAACTCATAAAATCTTAAAAATTGAAATCATAGAGCTAAAATAATAAATATGAATCTACCAACTAACATTTTATGTTAAGTTGAGCAAATTATTGTGATCGCCCGTGAAAGTACCTGTACCTAATTAACAAATTGCATACGTTACGTTTCTTCTTATTTAATTGGAGGGAAATGAGAAATACATTCTTGAATTATCGAAAATAGTATGTTAATATTCTCTATCATATTTTTGGATAATGTCCCTTGTTGTCCAAAAGTTAAAATATATATGTCCATCACTCTAACGGAAAATTAAATAGGGATACGTGGCACAATTTTATTCGTTGATCCGATATTTAATAAATATCAATTCAGTGGATGTAATTATAGCATGTGTCCGTCCGTTAATATAAAGGGTATATATGCTCTATTTATTATTGGCAGGGGCACTAATATCCTAAAAGCATGACGAAGAGTATATCAATATCATTTATAATAGTTCGGATATATTAATTCTTTTTCCGTATAATTTATAGAGTAACAAGAATAATTGCTATCTTCTCAAATTTTTGAATCTTTCACCAATTTTATCACACATATATATACATAGGTTCATGGTGTCTGTCCCCTTCATTCTTTGAATTTGTTGCTTTATCAATTTAGGTATTCATATGCAATGTCCAAAACTCTATTTCCCTCACGATGAATATAAAGCTAGCCAATCGATGAATTGTACGTATAAAGAACTAAAAGGATTATATCTTTTAGCGATTAAAGATACTATATAGATTCAAAATTTTAACCTGGTAGACTCAATATTCACACAAAATTTCATTGTAATTTCAAACATGTTATTAGACATCATACTTGACGAAAATTTTCATGAGTTCTATGATCTAATTAAATTAAAAAAATAGTGTATACAATTAGAGATGATCCAAACGATCGATGGGAAAAGATTATGAAAGTAACCAATATTGCTAACTGGCCTTAAGAACTGATAATGGACGGTTGTTTTTAGTTCAATTATGTATATTATATTGTTGGAATGCGTTATATAGTAGATCTTCTAATAACTTTTGATTTCTTACTTACCCAACTTTGATGTAATGACTCTTTTTTTTCTAGTTTATAGTATAGTACTCTAGTATTATTTTATTTTTATTTTTAAAAAAAAACAAAACATGTTATGATACATGCATATAGATTGTCATATTTTTTCATTATTTAACCAATATCATCACAGAGTGCTAATTAGTTTTTTCTAATTCTTAGATTAGTTGACATTAGATACTTCATTAATCATTAGAATCGATAAGGTAAGATCTAACCCTCTTTACTGATACTTATTGTTATTGATATTTTTATACTTTTTAATAAAAGACGACTCTCTAATGGGTAAGTTTGTTTGTTTTTTTTAAATATAGGAGTAAATTTCTTAAACAGATCTTTAATATACCATGGTTTTCCACTTCCGCTTACAAAATAAAGGTGTATACCACTATATCTTATTTAATTTTTTCTTGTGTGATAATTGATATCCTTGTAATTT